ACCCCCTCTATACCTCCCGTATACTCCCACCCCAACCCCAAAAGTTTCTTAGCGGATTTGGGCTGTACTCAGCAAGTGCAGTACAGCCCCCAACTCAGATTTGAAAAAAAATCAGTGGATGGTTGTTTTCTGACTGGTCGGCGGACCGCCAACCGGCCGGCCCCGATCGGACGAGGCAAAACGGTCGGCGGTCGGGGTCGGCGGTCGGCGCCGGTGCAACCCTGCATGCACAAGAGATAATTCAAGCAACGATTGTCTTGGAGCCTTTTTACACGATCAGTGAGAGGCTGAGAAGCTTGTTTCGCCATCCACTCTAGTCTCATCCAGAAAAAGTCTCTTGTATTACCCGAAAGCCTCATTGCCTCCTACGCTTCATACTAATCAACATTATTTTGTGAAACACCATTCTGATCCCTCGCATGTAAGGCGGACAGGTGGTCAGGATGGGCAGAGCAGGCGGGTAGGCAGGCAGGCAGGCAGCAGGCGAACCAATTGAGTGACCAGGGAGAGGAAGGGGGGCCGGAGGGATAGGCGAACAGACGGACGGACACAGACAAATGGCCGATGGACAGAAGGATGGACAGAATTTAATTAAGATGGGAAAAGGCATCCATGGCACTATCTAAGAAGGGAAAAGGCATCCATAGCACCCTGGAAGATAAAAATTAGTGATGCAATTGGCCTTCCGGAACGAGAATTTGAGGCCATCAGCACAGTTCGGATCTTCTGTTTCACACAAGAGTGCTTCTGAGGTGTCCTCATCTTCTCTGTGACTGCACCATAATCTTCCATTACATCTCCCACCAAATCTACTGGCAGTCCTTCCTTATACCATGGGCCTACAAATAGTGGGCTTGAAACACATACAGCGGTAGACCAGACTTCTGGTCCCTTTTCGCATGGAATAATGTCACCTACATTGACCTTCCTCAAGTGCTCTTCTCCCCAGTGCTGTATATCCTACGACAGCTTCTCTGAGTACAGTTAGTCACACATAAACAAAGTAGAAACAACTAGAGGACATACTTTCTACCCAACATTTTGCACACCCTCTTCCCTACAGGCCTAGAACTTAGAATGTACAATACCATCTTTGCAGGAATGACTTGCTACCTAACGGTTTGTGAACCCTTCTCCCTAACCGCGTGGAACCCAAATGAATGACAGCATCTCCTGAGACGTATTGATGACCTGGCGTTGAGGGAGATGCGGGCGAGTGGATATCCGAGGTCGGGGATAAGAGTCAGGATTCCGGCCACGTGCTCATCACCTTTATCGGGGGGGGGGGGGGGGGCACTCATGGAAGCCTAAAATACTTCAACCTCGGAGTCTCCGAATGCATGCTGGGCTTTCAAAATTGTTCACCGTATGGCAGATAATGGTGAGGCCATTGGCCTGTGCTGGCCGGACTTGACAGTTGCACCTTCACAAGTCCAGAGTGCTTCTGTCATAAGCTGCAAGCATGAGAGCTGGCTGTAACCGATCATCGCCAGAAGAGGTTAGAGCATTACATTCACTGTTGCATACCGTATAGGTGCAGACCAGAACAAGAACCGACCTTTCAATACAAGGTATAAGATAGCACAGCGGAAGACTTAGATACCAATGATCCGAACAATCAATATTGTAATGCAGCCCCGAACATACATCATCATCATCATGGTGCGAAGGGGTCTGGCGCTTCACACAAGAGGACTGCGCCAGCCCCAACCATACACAGACGAAGGAGGTGGGGTTAGACGAAGAAGAAGGGAAGATGGGAATGTCGTCAACACCAAGTGTTCAGCACAAGCCCAAATAGTCCCTCGTCAAAATGTCTGAATCCCAATGTCGAGTCTGGATCCAATGTCGTCAAGTCTCA